GTTCAGCGGTACCAAGTTGACTGTTGGCATATAGAAGTGCTAAAATGCTTATACAGTAGGGCTGCGATGGCTATCGGACAGAATCAGAGTAGGAAACCTATCCAACAGTAGAGGACAGGGTGACGTCATATCCCCGAAACTCTTCACCGCTGCACTGGTAGACGTTTTCAAGCTACTGGACTAGAAAAGATACGGTATCAACATCAATGGGGAGTTCATCGCTTACCTTCGATTTGTCGACGATAAAGTCCTTATGGCAGTATCGCCGGAGAACCTAAGTACTGTGCTCAATGATCTCGATAGCGTTTTCCAACAAATAGATCTTAAGATGAACATGGACAAAACAAAGGCCATGTTCAATGTCCATGTCACACCTATGACGGTAGTTGTTGGGAGCACTAAGCTTGAAGTTATTGACGAGTATGTTTACCTGGGACAAATAGTCCTACTAGGTAAGTCCAACTCCGACCGAGAGGTCAGGCGACAGATTCAAAATTGTGCAATTGGATCACCAGTTTTCATGCTGATCGGAGCATCAAGTTCGTAGTAGACTATAGTAGACGAACATGCCCCGATTATAAGCCTATTAACGTTGGTGTTCCACAAGGCTGCTTGCTGTCACCAACGCAGTTTCTTCTGCATATCAATGATATGTTGCAAAAAAGTAACATTAATTGCTATGCGGACGACACAGTACTGGTGATGCTTTATACATCGGCCGTGACAATATTACTCGGGAAAACGTCGCCGAGTAGTAGTAGGCACAAACTTGTGTCTGAAGTCGAGACTTTGTTGAACAAAATCTCAGACGGGGGGTGATTAAATCTAGTCCAGTTCAATCCTCAGGAGACACAAGTTTGCGCGTTTACCGCTAAAATGTACCCCTTTGTCGTATCACCTTAGGTGTCTAAATGTTGAGTGAAGTGTAGTTTCGTGGTCACTTGGAAGAGAAGGCAAAATTAGCCTCTAAAAATCTTGGCGTGCTCAGCAGAGCGGGACAGTATTTCATGCCGGCACACCGCTTGCAACTTTACAAGGTGCAGGTTGGGCCTCACATGGAATACTGTAACCATCTCTGGGCAGGGGCTCCCCAGTGCCAGCTCCTTCCACTTGACCGCATCCAGCGTAGAGCGGTTCGAATCGTCGACGACCGAGTTCTTTTCGATCGGCTTGACTCACTGGCACTGCGTAGAGATGTGCATCTTTCTTTCTTTCTTTTTTAAAAAACGTTACCCCACACTAGGACTTTCTCCTGTATCGTGGAGGCAGTTTACAAACACAAATTTCACAAGGACAAACATCCAGACCCGGAACAATCATTTGTAGGCCATACTAATACTTGTTCCGTGCGGGATTCGAACCCGCGCCCCCCAGCGCAGCAACTCATTGCTAAGCCACTGCGCCACGGAGCCGTCAACGTCTCTTTGTGTATTTTATCGTATCTGTGCGATTTAGAAGAAGTTTTCTCCCTCGCACAACTTCCTTGTGGAATCAATTACCACCAGCGATTTTTCCGGACCGATACGACTTAGGGACTTTCAAGAAAAGAGCCTCCTCCTTTTTAAAAGGCCGGCAACGGATCTGTAAGTCCCCTGGTGTTGCAGTTGTTCATGGGCGGCGGTAGTAATTTACCATGAGCCGCATGCTCGTTTGCCCCCTAACCTATAAAAAAATTCAATACCGCTGGGCAGCGTTCGAAAAATTGCGACACATTTTCTCGTCAGATAAACCTCAAAACCTGAAAACGAGATTGTACAACCAGTGCGTATTGCCAGTGCTCACTTATGGATCTGAGACGTGGTCCTTCACTGCTGGCCGTATGAGGACGCTCAAGGTCATTCAGCGAGCTATGAAGAGATAGCTCGGGGTTTCACAGCGTGATAAACTTAGAAATGAGGATATCCACAGTAGAACTAATGTGACCGACATAGCTCAACGGATTGGTAAGCTGAAGTTGCATTGGGCTGGCCATATAGTTCGAAGAACCGACAACTGGTGGGGAAAAAAGGTTCTCGAGTGGCAGCCTCGTAGCGGTAGGCAAAGTGCAGAGCGTTCCGTCACTATATGGAGTGACGACCTGGTCAGACATGCAGGAAGTCTATCGATGTAAGTGGCTCAGGACCGTGCTTTGTGGCATTCCTTGGGGGAGTTCTATGTTCAGCAGTTACCATCGGGTGGACTGTGTGTTATTTTGTCACCCTTATTCTATAATACATAAAAAAACCAAAAAATTCCACTTTGTAATGTAAATTTGTAACGGAGACTTTTTGACTAGTTTCCGGCTATTATTTTCGTCAGTATATTTTTTTTTCAATAGAACTTTAATTTTAGACTTAAATCTTAGCATAACTGTAGAATTAATTTGTCGGTTCTTAGATATTTCTGGTAGGTTTGATTGCCTCGCTGACTTAGTGGTGGTAAGCAAACGTGATCTCCTCATCTCAAGACGGGAAGTCCTTAAATAATAATGGATTAAAAATAAAATATATGCTTATGGAATGTTATATGATCAAACGTGAAGATCAGAAGTTGCGTGTACCACTGTATAGGGCTGGTGCCGGTTATCAGGAAGTGTTCATATTGTCTACTGGAATCTCCTTATTCGATTATATAATATTTGACACATTTTGACACGTGCGCATCGATATGCACATGTGTGAATATTCTATGAAAATTCGAAATGCGAGTGTATTAATTATCGTTATTGTAATTTAAAGTCTACACGTACACTTACTTATCCAAAATTGTTTGCTAATAAAAACATGGTTTTACGTGCATGTCTGTGCGCTCAGCAGTAAATTAATGCGGACTGAAAAAGAAAGAAAGAAGAAAGATGTCTACGTGAATGCGCAGCAATCCGTCTAACTTTCTTTGTTGATTTGGGCCTACGACATAAACAGTGACATTCTTTACGTTTCAAAGTATCTTAAGTCAAATGCTATAGCTTATTACGACTACCTGTAAGATGAGATAAGACAGGAGCTAGGCTAGTACTTAGTATTAGAAGCAACTGCAAAATCCTCATAAACCCAAAAACCAGCGATTGGGATATTTGTACAAATGTTGGCTCCATTTGGAACTCAAAAGCATGACTGCTGCTTTTGAGTGCAGCACAGCTGTAGTAAATAAAAGGCGAGTTAGTTTGTACGACTTTAATTAAAGAAAAACATGCTATTCAGACAAGATACACAAGTCAAGCGTTTTACAGAGACCAAAGATACACATTGAATACAAATTTTATGTACGATCAATTTATCTCCATTACAAATCTGGACGTAAATTAGTACATTGATAGATTTTTTAAGCAGATCAGTGTCTGCATATTACATACATAATATTGTTTGAAACTCTCCTACATCTTATTATCTAAACGTACTACATAGTTATTACTTATACTTTACCCTAACATGGCTTTATCAAAAATCAAAGAACAAGAAAACAATTATAAAAAATAAAAACCTATAAAACTATAATATTGTACTGATAGAAGACACATGCAGTCACAAAGATAAAATGTTTTTAATTTTATCAAATTATTATAAAACGTCAAAAAAGTAATAAAAAACAATAAAGACTCAGCTCCGCTTATTCGAAATAATAACATCTCGCATTTAAAACAATAAAATAGTGTTAATTAACGCTCAGTACCCTACTATATTAATATTTAATGACAGCTCAGTACGTATACGGTGATAGGACTACTTTTCCGAGAGTCCTTCTGAGTACGAAGTTAACTGTTTCTGTCGTCAAGCAGCAGTGCTTGCTCTGTCGTGGTCTGGTTCTGAAGGGTTTAGAGAACCAGTATACCAGTACAGGCTGTGGGGCATTTGGCATTTGCAAGTTGGTTGCATGTGTCTATGGGCTACAGCAGCCACTTACTATTACGTCAACTGTAAGTTGTATATTAATTATATTCGAGTAATAAAAATAATAACGTATCAATAACTACAAACCTAAACGGTCTAAAAGGGAAATTATTGAAATGCTGCACAATGAATATCCTACATTCCTATAAAATAATAATTACAACAAATAAAATTCTTAACACAAGTAAAAATATAAACATAATGGACTGGCCTAATTTGTACAATATAAAAATCAACAATTAATTGCGAGTTAAAGAAACCGTGTGCGATATTATTCCTGTAAAACATTTGGAACATAACTTGAGTATAAAATTAATATACGCTTTAGCTTTCTATGAAAAATGAGCGTTATTACGACAAACACAGACACTGAGGTGATTCCAAGAGTGTTTCATTTTACTAATTTTGCTACGGAATTCTAATGATAATGCTGAACAAAATTCCACACGAAAAAAGCCTCGGGAATGAACTAGTTCAAAATGCCATGGGAATTAACTATTACTGCAGCAGAAAATAGTATAGTTCTTAATTTATTTCTACTATACTTGTTTAAGACTACATAAAAGACGTTAATTTGCATGGTTGTTCCTTCATCAGCCCGTAAAATATCACCGCTAAACATGAACTTCTCCCAATTTAAAGAGGATTTGCCTTATCGCCACGCTTGGCCGGCAGACTGGCGATCGCAGGACTAGACGTCTGGAACTTTGACGCTTTTATTTTTCGATTATAAGTGCGTTTAATGCATTTAGTAGAGAAATATAGTACATAAACGTAACATATTACACGCAATATGGTTATAAAGGTACAAAGAGATCTTGAGAGAGACCATATATTTGACTAAACAAAGACATGAAAAATCTAGTTTAAAAACAAAGCTATATATATTATGAACTTATGTTTTTAAATATATTTATTTCAAGAACACACTACAAATACTACCACTAAAGTGTATATTTTTGATCATACTATAAATGCTACCACTACAATTTATATATTTTAGCGCACGTATTTATTTAGCTTAAGAACTTTGATTGAATATTCATTTATTATATTAACTAATTTAATGAAAGCTTGAGAGTATTAGCTGGGTCTTCATTATTTCTACGACTTTATGTAGATCCATGGATTCTCTTACTTTTCTTCATTGTGAACGAAAACATTTTCCGATTCTCCCAAATTAAGAGGTACCTTTTCTTCGTTTTCGTCTCCTGTTCCTATAAACTAAGCATATAAAAATAAAGTAAGAGATATAATCAAAAAAATTCATAAAATTTCAATTTTTGTAAGTCTCGAACATTTTAAAATCTACCTAGTATGGCGATGAGTTTTGTAACACATTACACATTATTTATAATACATTGCAACTGAGTAACAATGTAACTGATACTCACAAAAGAATAACCTATGTATGTATATAATGAGGTATTCTATCTAAGTCCTCACGACGCATTCGCATTTTCATTCCTAAGCGATGATGGATCACGCTAATTTCTAATTAAAAAAATCTGCACAGGGTCATTTTACTTATTTTTACAGTTACTTATTATTATTACAGCTCCAAGTGAACAGTTTAAAAAAGTGACAATTTCATTGTGAAAGATATTACTTGTGTATGAATTATTTTAACTGCTTAAAATATAATATACTAGTAATTTGTATCTAGATTTTTTAAATACTTTCGCGATGCAGTTTATTGAAGTTATTCGCCATTATAATGCAGTAAAACTCGCTTCAGCGAAATTATTATTATTACTAACGCACATATTTTACATAATAATAATAAAAACAAATTACAAAAAAATTCTTTAATATTGATTTTGTCATCCATGTTTAGTAAGTGATTGATCCAGAAACTATCCTTGAGATAGTATCCTTTCAATTCATATTTATTAGGTATATACGAAAGTGGGTTAATAGCCAAACAGAATAACAATGGTGACAAGGGGTCACCCTAGGAAATTCCACATAACATGAATCGGTTCTATGGTAACTGAATCGTGTGAACCGCGGACGTGTGTTGAACATATTATGTTTCAACCCAAGTTAGAAGTAAAAATCAAATCGCTAATAGAGTGACAAAATTTATATAATGTTTATAAACTTACGCAACCCAAGGCGGGTCCTTCTACAGAAGCGTTGAACTCTTTCAGAAATGTATCAAGTAATTCTGAAAAAAAAAAAAACGTTAAGCAGCGTATTGTTACTACATATTTTACTTAAATATGAATAAGAATAAATTAAAGTGTAAGAAATTAGTTTCAAGAAACGGTTTAACATTTAATATTTCTTCAGGCACCAGTATCCCACATAGGAGCAGTCAGTCAGCCTGCTACTGTCTTTTGTTAGGCCTATTGTATGTTAAGCTATATGTGATGAGAAAATAAACGTTCTTATTATTATTATATGTTTGTGCGGCATGTAGTTTTCTCATCTCGTTGGGCTGAATACATACTTGCATATAAAAAAAGTGATAAACATACATAAATACACATAAAATATAGTAACATAAATAAATATTACATAAATAATTTTAAAACCAACCAGATGGAAGCACTTGACCAACTGGCACAGGGTTAGGGGAAAGGGAGGAAATTCGCGGAAGATGAGGTCGGTATAAAGGAGCACCGCCTTCTGCATTTGAGCCCGGAACGGTCCGTCACGGAGTCTCAGTCGCCTCAGATGACACGCGAGGCTGACTAATAATAATAATTTAATAATAATTTCGGTCGGCAGATCACCTCACATGTCTTTCATTTCGTGAGCCAGGTCTAGACATTTTGTTTTCTTCTCTGTTTCGAGTTTCACGAAGTTCTCCACATATGAAATCATAATGTCGACCAAAAATATTCTTCACTGTGCCCGGTCCATCAGCACGATATCAGGCTTATTCGTAAGAATAGTCCTGTTTGTGATGATGGTCCGGTCTCAGTAAAACCTGGCGTGGTTACGAGTACGGCATCCTCCAGCAAGTACTTGTGATAAGGCTCCGCGATCGAAGGATTGCTCCACGAGATCGTCTTTCAGAGCGAGTTCCTGGTGTGGCATTCTGGTATAGTACTTAGAGTTAGAAAGCGCAGAACAACCGGAAATTACATGCCTAAGGGGTTCACCGGGATGGCTACAAGCTCGACAGATGCCGACGGTGCCATCCCTTAGGACGTATCTCCGATAATTGTTGGTTTTCATAACCTAATCCTGTATCGCATCCAGACAAAACCCTCGGTTTTCCGAAAGAGATCACCGTATTATAGCCAGTGAAGGTAAGCAACATATTATTATTATTATTTCTAATAAGTATTTTAAAATATTACCGTCTGGCGATATTTCCTCTTCTTCCTTTTTATTTATATTAGGATCACCCTCAGCTACTTTTTGAGAGTGCTGTGGTTCCCCATGTTTGGTCAATTCTTTCTTATTAAGCGATTCATCTGATTCATTTCTTATCGGCTCCTCTATGCATGTTGACAATACCCCATATTCTTCATCAAAATTACCAATATTCCAAATATCATCATATTCTTCCGTGTTATGTGTCTCATCCAATTTTGGTATTGCATGAACATCTACGTTGTCTACTGTGTATTTTTTTAATTTTGAATGATTATTTTTCTCATCAGAATGTTCTATATCATGTCCTCTCTTTCTATCTTGTTTCGATTCTACTTCCATCGCATCCTTATTATTAATGTTCTGTAATTGTTCAGGGTCCATCTTTGCTTTTTCTACACCTGGAAGGCAAGGAATTGGAATTAAAATATTTTTAGAATAAATGCGATAATTTACAAATAATTTATTGCATAAAAGATAATAGAAATTATTATAGTTCAAGTGACATAAATCAAAGTCGAATTATTATTTATCATTTCATTTTATTCGCTTTTTTAATTTTTTTGCTACAAAATTATTCATTGTCCATTATAAAATCTTAAGAGAATTTTGATCTTCTACGATGCAAAGGCTCCTATTCAACTTTCCACCCTATATTAGTACAGGGATATTTGGGTATTAAAAAAAGAAAGTCAGTTATTATGACATTATCGAGACACATTTAAATTTTCTTTATAAGTATTTCAGCATTGTACGCTATAGTCTACATACATAACATAAACAATCGCACCCGTCACCCAGAGGAATAGGCGGATACTACGGGCTTCCATCTGGCATGATCCTCTCGCCTCCTTTACATCCATGTATCTACAAATACACGCTTGTCAGTTAAGGGTACTCCTAATTTGACCCCTTTTCAATATATCGCTAATCTGGTCTATAAACTTTCATCTAGGGCTCTGCCGTTCACACCTGTTATATAGGTTTTACTTTGTCACTCTTTCCTCGTTCGTTCTTTCATGTTCGTTTTTACAAGACCAAACCACCGAAGCATTCCTTTCTTAATCTTTGTCACAATTTCATCTTGCAAACCACACTTTTCTCTTATCACACAAATTTTCACCCTGTCATTCAAATTCAGCCTTAATATACTCCTTAGTGACCGTATTTCTACAGCATTTTTTCTACTCCCGTGCTTCTTCTACCACACCCAACTTTGCCTACCATCCATTAAAGTAGGGACTAACACAGCATTGAAAATTGCCATACATGCCATTTTTTACACGTCCTGACTTTCCAGAATAGTGTGCAGAGCCCCATTCACTCTATTTCCTGCGTTCACTTGTCTCTCTATACAACATGAAACAAAAATCCTGTGGTTCCCGTTAAGTACGTTATCGGCATCAGTATTGAAACCTATAGAAATAACTTTTTTTTTTAAATTTCGACCATATTTTGTTTAATCTTATTAAAATATATTTTTTTTAATTTTATGTTGTTTTATTACCTCTTACTGACACTAACCGATGCTAAAGCTAAGTAAAGCGGGTTTTTTGACAATCCTCTTACTCCCCAGATAATGCAGAGGTAATAACACCGCATACAATTTGCATACAATTATTTTTTTAAATAAAATAAAATAAATATTGTTCAAACTTTTAAAAAAAAGTTATTTCTTTAGGTTTGAAAAATGATCCTGATAACATACTTAACGGGAACAACAGGGTTTTTGTTACATATTGTATAAGGATATCATATCTACTACCATCCCTGCTAAATACACAAAACTCGTCCACTTGCTCAACGAAATTCCCTTGTATTCTTATAGTCTATTAGATAGTTTTACACCCTTCTCTTTCAAAATAAATCACTTTCGTCTTACTTGCGTTCATTTTCATTCAAATTACTTTTAATGATGTATTCATTAATGTAACCGTCATTTGCAACTCATCCGCCGATATGACAAATAGCAAATATGACTTGATGCCGATAATCAAGTCATATTTGCTACACAGCACATAAGGCATTTGACGGTTACCTAATCCAATTTAACCCCCATTCTTCAACTCTTAAAGTTTCCAAAAGATCATAAATAGGTCAAACAGCCACGGGGAAGCTACACAGTCCTGTCTGACACCTTAATGGATGCCAAACCAGTCCGAGTAGACCCCGTTGATCCTGACACAAGCACTAAAAATCTTATAAAGAGACCTTAATGCCTGTATCAAACCAGCACTCAATCCAAATTAGTTCAGGGTTTGGCATAACACACTCCTGTCCATTTTGTCGTTAGCCTTTCCCGAGTCCATAAACGTACAAAAACTTTCTGGTTTTTTGCCAAAACTTCTCCGCGATCAAGCGCATGGAAAAGGCTCGATCCGTACATCCCGATCCCATTCTAAATCCAGCTTGCATGTCCCAACATTTTCCATCAGTTTCTTTCATAACTCTTTCAATGAACACTTTAGCATATAGTTCATCCACAATGCTAAGCAGGCTGATACCACAATAGTTTCGACAGTCCTGCTCTGACCCTTATCTAGTGCCGAGACAGCTAGATTATTTTATTTTAGTTATTTCCATAGCATAATGTCTTATGGGATTTTGCTATGGGGAAATGCGGCTGATTCAGAAACTATTTTTGTTTTACAGAAGAGGGCCATTAGAGCTATTTACAATCTAAAACCGAGAGAGTCTCTTAGAGATAAATTTAAAGAAATTAATATATTAACTTTGGCCTCTCAGTATATTTACGAAAATTTAATGTATGTTCACAAAAACAAAGATAGTTTAAGTAAAAAAAGTGATATACATTCTGTAAACACTAGTAACAAACACAAGCTAGTGATGCCAGTTTCTCGACTCCACAGAGTCAGTAATTCATTCTTGGGGCAGTGTATACGCTATTACAACTAGGTCCCGGAAAGTGTACAGGTTCTCTCTATTACCAAGTTTAAATGTTTTATTAAGCTGAAACTGTATAAAATGGGTTATTATAGTATAAATGAATACATGGTTGATAATAACCCCTGGGAATGAGGTGGTCGCTTCCAAGCAGTTTCTAAAATAAATTTTGTAAATAGTTCGTAATCATTTATATTGTATAATTTATTTTTTAAAAAAAGTCCCACTGGGTTTCTTGCTGTTTTTTCCCAGGACAGAGGGTTTTTTTTCGAACCAGTGGTAAAGTAAAAAATGACTTTCAATAAGAATTACACATGTAATGTATATTGAATAAAAAATATTCTATTCTATTCTATTCTATCCCTTACATCATGAGGCTATTATCTATAAATATAATAAAATTTAAAATTACAGGTGTCTGTACATTTTATATTCTTACAACGAAAAGGTTAAGAGGGACTAAAAATAAGTAATTAAACATATTTCTATCATTTTTGGAATTGTCTGTTTGTCTGTCTGTACGTTTATCAACAAATCACATCTAAATTAATTATAGTTTTTAATTGTTACAAAAATCATATAGCGTATCTTCAGATAACACATTTAGTTTTAGCTTTATTAAAAATGTGGGTAAGTGGTGGTAATAATATAATGGTGGCGTTGAGCCATCAAGTGCATTTGAATCTAATCTCTTATCGATAGATGGCGCTGTGCAAATATAATATCGTAGATTTACTTTCATAACTACTGCTCATCATTAATATGACTCATACGCGGAATAACTCATATTGAAATGTAAATTTTAATATGTAAATCTTAAAATTTATGAATGGTAAAAGCGTGATGTGTAGCCAGAATGACAATCAAATCGAAGACTTTGAATCAACGATTTTCTACTTTTTTTTATAAAACGGCGTCTATCTCTTACAAGGTCGAAATTAAGATGTTCAAATTTAATTAAAAAGTACCCTATCAACATTAATACATCCTACTGCTGGACACAAGCATCTTCATATTTCTTAAGGGATTTGTTTCTTGGAACGGGACAAAATTCATCACGCTGATTTTGGTTCTTTCATAATATTATAAGGTATCAATCGCCTCGAAAGCTTTTCTTTTATTTTTAAGATCTAGTGTTAATAGTGCCATTCCTTTTTAAAAACCAATTAATGTGATTTCTTTCGTTTAATTACTACCAATATATGTTTTACTGTGATTGTAAAAAGTTTTTATAAATCGTTTTGTTTACGAAAAAAAAAACTGAATTAATTAAACTGAACTCATTTTTAAGATACTTTTATATTTAACGGCTCTGTGGAGGAATAGCTTTGTCATTACTGACATACATGATTCGAACCCGCGGCACTTAGGGCTGCAAGTCATTAGTTGCAGCGCTAAGTGCCGCGGGTTCGAATCATACAAGTATTTGTATGGAGTAGAAACAATAATTCCAAATCCTAGTGTGGCTATAATGTTAAAATAAAGAAAGAAAATATCGTATACCTATGCATAAATCGTTTTCTATAATAAAATTGACATTGATTATATAATTGATTATATAACCAAACAAAGATTTTTATTTTTATAACTCCGAACGTTACTTCATCATCATCATTATCGTCAGCATTACAGCCCTTCACAAGTCCACAGATTGCAATACAAGACGTCTCGCACCTTTGACTTTGCTGTCCGTAGCCAGTCTGGGTATTAGGTTTTTCTGGCGTTTCTCATATTCCCCCACACACCCGTGGTGTAGAGGAGTGATAGATTAATTTACTCCGCTACTACACGGCAAACGAATTGTTGTTCCCTCTATATGTTGTAATTATAAACCTGTTCTTTAGATTATTATTTTTTTTTATCTTACTGCATATCTGTTACTTAGTTTTATTTAAATATAACATTCAACGAAACTTGATTGGTTTTGTGATGTAATTACTTCTTATTAGTATAAAAATATCTCTTATATTACTGTTTGAGGAACAGTGGTGTGGTTTATAAAATATAATCAATAGTCATAAGAAATAAAACTTCAAAACAAACAAGTTACTAACAAACAATATATGCGAACGAAGTCGTGGGCTAGCTAGTAGTTTAATCAAAATATCTAATATTGTTAATAACAATAAATTACTTAATATTCTAAATTTTTTCACTTTCACTATCTGTAAAATACTATTAAGCATATGAACTGTCAACATAATTGTTGTGAAAGAGCTTAAAGAAAATCCACTAGCTCATACATCCGGTGAGTGTCGTTATAGGCAAAGTAGAGAAAAATTAAACAGGACATGAGCATAGCTAGGGCTATGTTAAGTAGTGAACTTTTGTTAGGCTGTGAAGAATGATATATATATATATATATATATATATATATATATATATATATATATATATATACATAACAGATTGCTGGTTAGAGCCTTAGCAAGGAACGCATTTTATTGAATGCTTAGTATTTTATTCTATGCCAATTTATA